CATACTGCATTTAATAATTATGTAATTACCTAAGTTCATCAGCCTGCAACAGACTAAGTTTACCAAACATAATAACAATTAAAGAGATATTTGTTACCTAATTATCAGTGTTTTTAATATAACACTAGGGTAAATTATGAAATAAAAAATTAATTGTGTATTTTATGTAATTTCATGAGGAAAAATGCTTCTAGATTTATTTAAAGAAAAATACTATAATGGGAGGTAAGAAAGACAGAACTTTTTAAATAAGGGGAGAAGAAGGGTTGAAGAGAGGGGAGTGGAATGGGAAAAAGAAGGAGCAAGATATACCATGTACAGGTACAAATTCCCTACGGTGAATATAATCATTATGTACATCCATACTATACCAATAAAATTAAAATTTTAAAAAGACAGTAATCTTGAAAAAGAAACAAATAAAAATACGAGGAAGTAGAAGAAAAGTTCTAGGTGATGAAATCTGCTCCTGTAGCAATTCACAAAAGCTTTTAGCATCTCTGTTTACCATTGGTACAAACAGGCTGGACTGAAAATAATCTCAGATGATTAAGAAATTCACGAACTTTAAATTTATGTCACCAATAAATTGTACCAATAACAGAAAACACGAGAGAGGGGAGATTAACTGGGCAAATTAGAGAAAATTTTTATGCTCATTTCTAAGTTTCTACATGTGAAAACTAGTCTAGGGAAAGAATAACCTATGCACTGTAAGAAACATGCTTCCAGGATGTTTCTAGAAGTTTGAACTCTCTGGGAGCCTTAGTTTGAGACATCCTGTTTCCAAAACTGTAATAGAATACATTCCTATGGTTTTAAACCATTATGTCTGCAGCATTTTGTGACGGCAGCCACGGGACACGGAGTCACCCTCTTCTGCAGAGAATTCCTAAGAGATGAGGCAGAGTGACAGGGGACAGATGGAAGTGGGGCACTTTGACAGGAACGGTGATGCCACAGGGAAAAGGCCACGTGAAACTCATTCTACGAGCGATTATTTACGTCATTACTTTCCAATCATTTTTCTGAGTGTGAAGAGGCTGTCATTTTTTAAATTCCATTCTTTCTTCACCAAGTGGTCCATCTCAAACTTTCAGATTCACTTTCTCAACTGTGTCTTTTCCAAAAGGCTTTAAAACAAATAAAAATTTCAGTATCTTCTACCCCAAGAGAAAATCAGCAAAACCCAACATTATCCTCTGATGTTTATTCAACTCTGGCTGTTAACCTATTTCTATGACTTTTTTTTCAGCCAACATAAATAGAAATCCACAAAATTTCTTCCCCAGTTTTACTAATCTCACTTCCCTGCCATCTGGTTTAGTCCCCTATGCTCTAGATGTCAGTATGCATTTAAAACATTTTTTTTCTGTCTGACAATTTCAATAATTCCCTTAGACTTGAAAATAGAATATCAAAAAAGCTGGGCATGGTTGCACACACTTCTGTCATCCCAGCATTCGGGAGGCTGAGGCAAGAGGATTGTTGGCAAGTTTGAGGCCAGCCTGGGCTACATAGTGAGTTTAGGTCCAGCCTGAACTACATAGTAAGACCCTGTCTCTAAATAAATAAATAAACAAACAAATAGCACATCAATATCAAATTCAAGATAAAACAAAATCTAGCTTCCATGGCTTTGGTATTTAAACATAATTCATGGGTATTTAAACAACAAACCAAATGGGGAATAATTTATGATTAAAAAATAAAAGGTGAGTTGGGTATGGTGGTGCACACCTGTAATCCCAGCATTCTGGGAGGCTCAGCAGGAGGAATGCAAATTCAAGTCCAATCTCAGGCAAGTTAGGGACTTAGTGATATCCTCACTCAAATCAAAAAATGAAAAAAAGTAGATGTAATTCAGTGGCTTCAATCTCCACTACCAATAAATAAATGAATAAATACTCTGAAAGAGGAAGAAAAATTAAAATTTATTGATAAAGTAATGTTTTTAGATCTCCAAAGTCAAATGAAATAATGTTTAATATTATACACAGAAGTAAAGTAAAATATTAGTAAATGCTATCCATTTGATCCAGAATTGTTACTTTTTAAAGAATATAAAACAATGGAGCTCCTGCAATATAAGTACTGCTAAAATGAAACTAATATCTGAAGTTCAAATGAAATCTAACTGTGTTCATGAAAAAAACTTCTACCCAGAAAATTTGAAATTCTCCTACCCAGGAAATTTGAAATACTGATAAAATAGTATACAGTCCATCTATCAGTAAATTACATACATATTAATTTATATGAATTTAACTCTACACTAGGAAAAAGTAAAATAAATGAACATACATGAATGAGAAACATAACTATCTCATTGGGAATTGTCTGAGAAAACTGTCATCTGTTTGGAATACTATCCCAAAGAAACATTGAGTGTATTTGATAAATATTGTGCTATACATTTTAAATATCAAGTTTTAGTATATAAAAGAAGCAATGATCATAATTTGGGATAAATGACAGGAAATGAGAAAGATATGAGATATGACATGTGGTAAATTGATATAAAAATAGCTAAATGCAGCAAAAGCAGAAAATTATGGTAAAGTAAGAATGAGAGGCAACAGAAGCAAAATGTGAATCTGATTTGTAGAGATCCACTGAACATTGCTTGATCAACTCACATTAAAGAAATAAAGGTATGAATAGGAAGAAGCCAACAGTCAATATTTGCTTAATTCTACTACCTTACTCCGAGAAAATTGTCAGTGATCATTAGATGATTTAGATGACTGGAAATCCACTGGAGATGTGAAACCCAAAATAATGATTTTCATGCTTGAGCATTTTGTGCTTTAACTAAATAAAACAAATAATTGTCTTATTTTAGCCACGATATCTTTAAGACCTTAGTCCAATCCAATAAAGAGGACTTTTCATTTCAGCTTTTTGAGGGGATGGGACTGGTGGTAGGATATGTTCCATATGGAGGTGAACATGAGAAAAGGTGTGTATGTATGTGTGACTGCATGTACTGTGTGTTGTTATGCAAATCTTTACATGCATTATATTATTTAATAATAAATTAGTTCTATGATGTAGACATTTATCATCCCCGTTTTAGGGGTAAGAAAACTAAAGTTAAGGCTGATGATGTGATTTCTCCAATGTAAAAGAAGTTGTTGAGTTGAACCTGAACTCAGAAATCTGACTTCAAAGTTTGAATTTTTAAATGCAATGACATTGAGCATGGAATACGTAAGACACTTTTGATATACAATGTCATTAACTCTTCACACCTCTTCTCTGTCGACATAAATGATTCTCACTTCACCAATAAGGAGATTGAGTCTCGAGGAGATCATGTAACTTGTGCAAAGACAGGGAAGAAGTGACAGGGCTGAAATTAGAATCCTAGCGTTAAAATTTATATGTAGTTTGAAATAAAGAGTGATGCACCATTTGTAATATAAAATCATTTTCTTACTAGTAAACAAAAATTCACTTCATTTTATCCACAAAAAACCCAAGAAAACTTGTTTCCAAAAAAACTTTTAAAACTACTAATTTTTTTCTCACTATGTCATTATTTTTTATAGTAAGAAAATTAAATTCAATTTGCATTAGCCTGCCAGATTCCAGTATTTAGGAATCCATTAACTTATTTTCATTGGTACTTTTGCCTTCTCTCTCTCTCTTTTTTTCTGCTGAGCTACGCCCCTGGCCTACTTTTTCCTTCTCTTTATGAGCATACACAGACTACTGTTTTCCAAAGGGAAGTCAGAGAGTCATGCTGTTTTCTTGATAATTGTTGCTAGGATTCTGTCACCAACCATGTAATATTTTTGGCATCCAGGGATTGTAAGCCTCTCTGGCAAAGCGAGAACTGCCTTGGCTACAAAAGGTGAAAAATCAGCACAATTAAGAGGATGATATTCTTCTTATAATCTGTCACTCTTGTCACTATCACACAGCTCAAATTTGATCCAACCTATCATGCCAAGAGAAGAAATACTTCATATAGAAACGGACGGTTTGCCAATGCTAGCATCATTGCTCTATTTCAGTGTTAAATGAAAGGTTTAATACTTCACTTCTGATGACAACCTTCTTAATTAATATGAAGGTCTTGGACTTTATTCGGAGGAAAGGAAAGGAAGTAATATCTGGTTTTAAGAAATTGGACTGGAAACATCAGCTTATTTTATATATATATATATATGCAACAGAAATGTTAAGATGTTATCCACCAAGCTTTAACATAAAAATCCATGTCCTTCTGGAAAGTCCTGAGTCATCCAGACCCAGACACTAATGACAGCTATAACAAATCCTTTACCATGCAACACAAAGCTGTAAATCTAAATGCTAGAAGTTGATGAACTTTCAGCCTTTCTTCCATACTTTACTGCTCACTAAATTTCCCCTGCCTGCCCATGCATGAACAGAGTTTAACCTGGGTTAGATCCAGCTGGATCTCAAATCCAAAACCTGCCAAAGCCAGGTAGGTGATTTCTAAGACTTGTGATCAGGAATATGGAAGGCAGCAAAGGACACACTGTCCTCTCCGTGCCAGTGCGGAACAGGAACACACTGTCGGGTCGACAGATGAGCTGGAATGTCCCTGGTTGTCTTTTTTATATTCATTCAGAAACTAGATACTTAAGCCAAAACCCCTTCTTTGTGGAAATATGTCAGCAAACTGATATGTGATTGATACATGAATACTTTTGTTGTTATTGTTTCTATATTTAACTTTATGCATGTTTTACAGACTTGGCTTTATGCTCTGGTAATTTCCCATTTCATATAATTCCAATATGAAGGCACTTGCAAGGTTACTGGATAAACTTCTTTTTAAAAATTAAAAACAATCCTGTTTTCATTTTATATTGTTGTTCACCTGTGTATTTGATTGTTAATTCAGATTGAATATAATGACCTCAAACTTTATTACAAAGCTACTATCTAAAAAGAATTATAATGTACTTATTGGGTATTAGGTATTTCCATAAAAACTATGTGATAAAATGAATCTTACTTACCAAACTCCTTGGGCACTGCTATAGAATAAACGCAATTATGTCCCACACTATAATTTTTTGGATAGTTTGGTGACAGAACAGTGCCTTCTGATCCTGTTGAACGACTTCCACAGGGTGCTAGGAAATAAAAATAAGAATATACTTACAAAAAATTTTAAAAAGTTATGCTATGAACATCTTCTTGACAAAAAAATATGGGTATTGGATTTTAAAGTGTAGAAATTATTCCATCTTTTAACAAGATCCTCTACTGTCAACTATATAAAAACATAAAAAACATTTACATGTGAAAAATTTTATAAATATTCAAATTTCCTGTTCTCTAGTGCAAAATAGTATAATAATAATATAATAATGTTGTATCTAATGAAAATAAAATGACTGGTAAACTCACGGACAATTGGTTCTGTTATTTACAAGACAAGATACATTGGTTTTCATATACCTCTGATAATCAGAGAGAGAGAACTGAGCAATTTAAAGTTGATATTCTCTAAGTGAATGAGATCACTCAGAAAACTAAGTAAAATGAGAAAAGATAGACAAAGAAGAGGTTCTGTAAGACACCAAATGTTTAGGATCAGATAATAAGGGATGGCAATAAAATCTCTTGGGAACCAAGGAACAAGAAAATTTCAAGGGAACAAAAAGGTTTAAACATTACAAAGTGACTAGTAAAGGGAAAAAAAAAAAGGCATCTGGATTAATTTGGGAATCTGCAAGGTAAGGGAATAGGGTGCTTCTTTTTCATTCTTATATGCAGTTTCTGAGGTGAGGGATTTTGGCCAGGAACACCTTTCTGCTGGCCCTGCCCCTTGCTCTTTGTTAGAATGCCTTTCCTGATTGATGGGCCATGCACAGGACTTTCTCTTCCTCTTCTGGTTCAGAGCCATTGTTCCTGCAGTGCCATTTATTGTTGTACTCATCCACACAGTAAGTTTTTCAGGTTATGTCTTTTGAGGAAGGGCTGCACTTATTGTGAGCAGCTAGTAAAAAGCTTGTTGTTTCTCACTCTCATTTCTTTTTATTTATTTTTTAATTCTTAAGTTCTTTTATTGGTACATTTTAGGTATGCAATATGTTTACATTTATCATTGGGTGTTTGTACCTGTACATGATGTATCTTGGTTCTTATTTTTTCCCCATTACCTATGCGCCCTTCATGCCCTCTGCCCTTCCCTATTTCCATAGACTTCATTTCCTTTTATTCTTTTCTCATCATTTTTCCTTTCCCTTCTTTCCTTTCCCCTTCCCCTCCCACCACCCCTCCCCCTTTGGACCTTTCTTCCTATTTCAAATTATCAATTATTCATTTTAATCATTTTAACCCTTATGTACACTTTCAGTTTCTCACACTAGAGAAACTATTCAGTATTTACACGTATGTCCTATTTATTTCACTTGAGAGTTTGGCCTCAATATGCATCCATTTAGCTATAAATGACTAGTTTCTGATTCTTTATGGCTGAGTCACCCTCATTTCTTATCAATATTAAGACTAACAGTTTGATAAGCCTATGCCTATTTAAAGGTGTTTGAACTTCAACAGAAAAATTAGAATATAATTTATTATTCCTCTCAAGAACCAAAAGGAGGTTTCTGAAGTTATTAAGAATAGTTTCATCTAAAGAAGCACTCTATAAATAATGGTCACTAGATCAAACCCAGCTCATAGACAAAGAAAGGATTTTACATTTAAAGGAGTTAGAAACAAAAGAAAAACTTGCAGCTGTATGTAAGTGAGAGACATGTGGTCGGTGGAGCCCAAAATGATATTTGGCCCTTTACAGTAAAGTTTTATGTTGGACTATTTTTTCTTTCCTTTTTTTTTTTTTAATTGCAATTCTGGGATGTCCAGGGTGCTAGATAAGCACTCTACCATTGAGCTACACCTCATCTTGATTTTTCTTTTAAAGAGCACTCAAAGCAATATTAAGTTACCTCAAGGAGACTTGTGCCAGTTTGAAAAAGTCAAAACTTTTGATAGATTCCTAGCCAAAATTTAAAAATACAGCAATATATGTAAAATGCAAAAACAACACAAACAGTATGTTGCATTGAATAACATAGCTAATCAATGTTCTGACATTTTTATTAATATTCTATAAAAAGGATATTAAATAGTTATAATTAAACATACTAAAATTAAAACTTCCTAGAAACAACAGATTGACAGTGATGATTATAACCAAAGCTACATTTGCTCTCATCGCTCATTATCGTTTGAGATTAAAGTAGTCAGGGTTATTCTTATTTCAACACTGATAACTTTATTCAGCTGATAATGCCACTGATAACAGAATCATTCAAGAATGAGAAATGTGTTTTATGTTAATTTTCTGCCTGATGTTAAAGTGCTCAAAATTAAAATTACAATACATTGAAAGTACATGACAAAAGCTATTATTTTTATATTTGGAAAGTATGAATAGAAATGAGAGCTTCTAGCTCATGTTCAGTCCGGTGACTTAGTCATGAACATCTTGCCATCCCACAATAATGTGTGTCTGTCACCTTCGATTTGCTTCATATACCTCATTTTGCATAATAGATATCTAGGACAGCTCTTGTTCAAAATCTCATTTATAAATGTGAGGGTTTCTCTTTTAAACCAAGAAAATATGTAGGACTGAAGTTTAGTCATGTATGCTATGTTCTTATGGTAACTAAGAAGTCAAATTTGTTATGTAGACTGGTCGCCATAATTATATGGTTTTACGTTTCTGTGTGTGTGTGTGTGTGTGTGTGTGTGTGTGTGTGTAGGTGTGGTTGAGATCGAATTTCACTATCAGGTTGGGCTACAACCCTATAAAGCTTTGGTTAGTCTTGGATTTGTGATCCTCCTGCCTCAGCCTCCAAAGTGGTGGGATTACAGGTGTGTGCCATCACAATCAGCCTCGTTGTGGCTAAATTTATATTAATAACGTAGACTATTATAGTGACTAACAATAATTATACAGTACCCATTGTAATCTGTTTCATGTGTATAAAATATAAGTAGAATAATGATTCTGCCAAGCCAGCTTCACTCTTTCTCCTAATACTGGTCTCCAGAAGCCTTTGGTATTCTCTTCTGATTTTAATTCCATCTTAGTGGCTAGTAGGGAAAGGGGCAGCGTTTATCTTTTGTTGGTCTTAACAGTTAGAATATAAAAGCAAACAAAAACTTTAAATTCTACCACTTTTTTATGCATACCACATATACTTTTGGGCTTTTTCAAAATGGCAAGTATTTTCTCTAAACATTCTATATCCATTATAATACACTGTACACAAGAATGCACCTGCTCTTCACCACAACTCATGTAGCATGCAAATCTACTGTTTAATTGCATATTTGTAGAACATATACAATTATCTGACGATATGTCTCTGTGAGTGAGGGTGGGATACAGATGGTGAAAGAAAAAGGGTTATTTTATATGAATGGAGGCATTAATAAGGTTTGGAGAATCCCATGCTCTTTCTCAAAAACATACTTGATCATGGAAAACTCTTTTGCCAGGTAATATCTGCTACATTTTGGCAATGATACTATTGTCTGTGTAACTGAATTAAATTAATGATGATTTTGAAGCACTCAAGAACTGTACTTTATATATACTTATAGAACCAAATTTGAGATTTAAAAATGTCAAACTTAGCTTACTGCTAAAATGCTGTTATTCTTGACTCTGTCTTGCTGACTTGGAGTCCAATCATTGATCAGTTGCTTCTGCTTTTACCTAATGTATCACCATCTCTATATCTTCTCTCTTGTATCTGGCACAATCCAGACTCTCAACAGCTTCTACATGGGCTCTTCCAATAGATGCCTAGGTCTACTCATCACAACTTTATACCACCAGTAATGATTTTTCTAGCATACAAGCCTTCTCATATTTCTCCTCTCTTCTTAGGACAGCATATATCCAAAGCAGGGTCTGCATAAGTACCTGTTGGCTGATTAAGTGAACTGTGGATACCAGATCAATCTACTATAGAATGATGCTAGGCAGTCAGCATATGTTATGGTTTATGTCTAGATGTCCCTTCAAAGCTTCATGTGCTCATAGGTGGGGCGTCTGTGAGGTGACTGGCTCATGGATGTGTGATATTCATCCCTGAATTAGTCCACTGATGGGCGTATATTTGGGTGTGATGTTGGGAGGTGAAGCCTGGTGGGAAGAGCTGGGTTGCTGAGGGTGCATTACTTGGAAAGGTCTAACGCTCTCCTTCCTCCCTCGAACCCTCTCTACTTTTTTCTTGACCTGTCATGATTTCTTTCTCCTCTGCCATGACACCTTACCATGCTGGCCTGCCTTGGAGTCACCTGACTATGGACTGAAACCTCTACAAACTGGAACCAAAACAAACCTTTCCTCCTTTATCTTGCAGGTTTTGGGTGTGGTATCTCAGCAATAAATGAAGTGACTAAGAGAGCGTATAACACAGATGTTTTATCTGGGGTTGAAATTACCCCAGAAAATTCACTGAAAGCAAGTGCAGAATCCAGACATGTCTTGTCTTTATAAGTCCATATGAACTTATTATCTTTCTATGATTAAACTTTTTGTTGCTTCTTTGTTTGTTACCAGGAATCACTGTTGCTTTACATTCAGGGGCAATACTATGTGAAAGGCATGAAGGAATCTTAAAACATTAGCACCATAATCAATGGTATATAGTTTACAATACCAGGACCACAGGAATACTGAATTCCATTGAAAAAATAGAAGTCAGGTCTACAAATTCATAGTATCAAATTCATGCTAACGGTTTATCAGTCCAGGGCACCCCTCATTGAGTAAGTGAAAACACCAACTGTTTAATTTCTTGTTCTTGTTCTTTTTGTTTATTTATTTTTTAAAATACCTTTGGCTGAATTTGTATAATTTGATTTATGTAAGTAAAATGTGTCTATGATTCATTTCAATTGCACAGGCTTGTTTTATTCCTCGATTATGTAGGCGGTAATACCACTCATAGATGTGGTATATTATGATTTAGATAGAAAATGGAGCCCAAAAGTCTCATGTGTTCCAAGATGGGGGCACTATACTAATCCGAGAAGTAATCATGGCTGAGTATGCTGCCAGGAGGGCAGGTCACTGGGAGCTTGCCTTTGGAGGCCCAGC